TAATAGTAAAAATATATCGAGGAATTTCTCTGGAGCTGTTGTGGGCAGTGTGGTGTCCATTCAGTTTCAGATAGTTCCTTGTTCCAGCTTACACTTCTCAATATCTATAGGCCCTTTCCTATGTAGTCGGTGCTAACTACAGGGTTTTAATCTGTTGCCCTTGTCACTTCCAAAGCGCTTCCCTTTGTTTATTTGGCTTCTGTTTGCAGGTCCCTTCAGTGTCTAATTTCCACCCTGACACAAGGGGGCAGTGGTGGTCACTTATTTAGGTTCACTTGTTCAGTCGCGCTGTGGGGAGGAAGGGGCACTGCAGACAAATATCACTGGCCTGTGTGGGGAGCACTCGCAGTGTTCCGGCCACACTGGGTTTGCCCCCACTCACGGCGTGTGTGCTTTCCCTGTCTACACTGCTCAGGCTCCAGGTTGCTCTGCAGGGAGTGGGCTCTGAGTTGTGTGCACACCCCAGATCTAAGCCGCTCAGGTTCAGGTTCTTGGGTACTCCACAAAGACGCAGACTTGGTTGGGCCTGTGTTTTGTGCCTTCCCCGGCTCCAGCAGCTCAGGCGATCATCTGCTTGGTGAGCACACTCTCTTCAGGTGCATTGAGTCTTATCACCTCCCTGGTCCCAGCCACTCGGTTTCCTGGTGCACCTGACTCTGGCGTGCCGTGTGTCTCTTCTGGGGAGCTGATCTCTGGCTGTGATCCTCCTGGCGGATGTCAACCATCCAGAATCTCAGGAAGTCTTTGGTCAGAAACTGGAAGCCTGTTTGCAGTTTGGCAGGGGATGCCCTCTATGGGGCCGAGTTTGCCCCTTTTCGGCTCTGGCTGGCACCCGCCTGCCCCCTGTGACCGGCAGTAGATGTGCCATTCCACAGCTGGCTAGCTCTTCTCTGGTATTGCTCAGTCCTTTGTTTTGTGAGCGGGCCGGCACTGCCTTAGGTTAGGGCTTTTCGCGGGATAATTCTCTCTCTCTCTCTCTGGCTATCCCACAGTTTAAGTTGTTATCTCACGTTAGCTCCCTAAGATTGCCCTCAGGGCATTCAGGCCTGGTCCTTACCCTAGGCAATGTTGCCCGCTCCTCTCCGTTCAGCCCTCACTTGCTGGTGGCGGATGTGAGCGTCGAGGGCACTTCTCTGCTGGGAGTTGCCTTTAGGCACATAATCTGTGGGGTTTATTTATTTACTTTTCCTCCTGGTTAGGTTGCCCTCCGAGATTCTAGCACTTCCCCCAGACCCGCCAGTGAGATGGTTTCCTGGTGTTTGGAAACTTCTCCTCTATTAAGACTCCCTTCCTGGGATGGATCTCCATCCCTAAATCTTTTGTCTCCTTTTTATCTTTTATATTTTGTCCCACATCCTTTCGAAGACAATGGGCTGCTTTTCTGGGTGCCTGATGTACTCTGCCAGCGTTCAGGAGTTGTTTTGTGGAGTTTGCTCAGTGTTCAAATGTTCTTTAGATGAATTTGTGGGGGAGAAAGTGGTCTCCCCATCCTATTCCTCCACCATCTTAGGACCATCTCATGAAGTTTAAATTATCTAATTTGTTTTTAAAATTGTGCTTTGGTTGCCATTATCTATTGCCTAACCCACTGTGGTGAAGATTGCTTTAACATTTTGAGTATTATATTTTTAGCCTTTGCATTTAGATCTATAACCAGTTTTGAGTTAATTTTTACATATGATGTTAAACAGGGTCCAACTTTTTTCTTCTGCATGGGAATACAGAGTTGTCCCAGCACCATTTGTTGAAAATACATATTCCCTTTTTAAGGGAATGAAAATTCCCTTTTTAAGATTGAAAATATTTTTTTCTTGTTTACAGGCATGTAGTACATTTCTTGATATGCTCAGCAGTTCATCAGAGCTCCCTGGCACTGGCTCATCTAAGTCACTCAGAGGTTATTTTAGTATTCTTTGGAATACAAATGGTTTAAGGTCAAAGATTTAATGTGCCTCAGAGGGGGTAGGTATGCTTATAATACCATTTTTTATTGTGGTTTTTACCTCCTTATCCAAAGCCTTCTATCATTTTCAATCTGAGAAACTTTTCTTTCACTGAAATGAAACAGTTGAGTGGATTTTCAGTCTTTCTTCTCTTAAGTTATCCCACTGACTCCAAATACATGTAATTCCTCCTTTCTGTCTTCTTATACTTAACACTCTCCTCCAACAACACAAGAGCAGACTCTACACATTGACATCACCAGATGGTCAACACCGAAATCAGATTGATTATATTCTTTGCAGCCAAAGATGGAGAGGCTCTATGCAGTCAGCAAAAACAAGACGGGGAGCTGACTGTGGCTCAGATCATGAACTCCTTATTGCCAAATTCAGACTTAAATTGAAGAAAGTGGGGAAAACCACTAGACCATTCAGATATGACCTAAATCAAATCCCTTATGACTATACAGTGGAAGTGAGAAATAGATTTAAGCTCTTTTCCGCATTGTATGGTCTTGTCTCATTTGTCAAAGATAAGGTGCCCAGAAGTGTGTGGTTTTATCTCTGGGCTTTCTATCTTGTTCCATTGGTCTATATTTCTGTTTTTGTGCCAGTACATACTGTCTTGATGACTGTAACTTTGTAGCATAGTCTGAAACTAGAAAGGTTGATTCTTCCAGCTCCATTTTTCTTTCTCAAGATTGCTTTGGCTATGCGGAGTCTTTTGTGTTTCCATACAAATTGAGAAATTTTTTGTTCTAATTCTGTGAAAGATGCCACTGGTAATTTGATAGGGATTCCACTGAATCTGTAGATTGCTTTAGATAGTATCATCATCAGAAATACAACTAACTTTTGTACGTTTATCTTGTATCCTGTGACCTTAATAAACTTACTCATTGGTTCTAGATTTTTAATAGATTCTCTTGTATTTTCTGCATAAATCTTTATGACACCTGAAAATACAGTTTTATTCCTTCTTTTCTAATCTATATGCCTTTTATTTCCTTTTCTTGTCTTAATGTCTAGAACTCCCCAGAATTAAAAGGAATGAACCATTGACCCATATAATTTGGGTAGATCTCAAGAACATAATGGTGAGTGAAAAAAAAGTCAGTCTCAAAAGATCAAATATGATTCCATTTATATAAGTCTTGCAATGACAAAATTATAGAGATGGGAAACAGNTTTGAACTGTGGTGTTGAAGCAGACTCTTGAGAGTCCCTTGGACTGCAAGGAGATCCAACCAGTCCATCCTAAAGGAGATCAGTCCTGGGTGTTCATTGGAACGACTGATGTTGAAGCTGAAACTTCAATACTTAGGCCACCTGATGGGAAAAGTTGACTCATTTGAAAAGACCCTGATGCTGGGGAAGATTGAGGTCAGGAGGAGAAGGGGACGACAGAGGATGAGATGGTTGGATGGCCATCACTAACTCAATGGACATGGGTTTGGGTGGACTCTGGGAGTTGGTGATGGACAGGGTGGCCTGGCATGCTGTGGTTCATCGGGTTGCAAAGAGTTGGACTCGACTGAGGGACAGAACTGAACTGATACCTAACACAGCTCTTCTGTCTTCTTTATGCTCTTGTCCAGCTTTCAGCTCATTGTAGACTTTATATTTTCTGTAAATCAATGATTCATCTTATTAAAAATGGAAATCTAATTTTTTGTCTAGTCAGCTCCTACCATATCACATGGCATTAACTTATCTATACAGAGCATAATCCTAATTCTTGATGTGAAAGAAATTAGTATATTCCATGCTTTTCCCTTCAATTTTTATTTTGAAAGGTTTTAAACTGAGACAAAAATTTTTAAAAATATATAATGAACACTGGACCCTCCAATTAGATTCCCTGTTAAACATTTTGCGACAGTTACCTTCTTTCATAGGCGCACACATACATAGTTATAAACACCACAGCTCTTCAGCCATAGATATTTCACATAAAATTTGTAATATTAAGGACTATTATCACATCTAAGAAAACTATAATTCCATTATACTATCCAATATGTAGTCCATATTGAAATTGGTGCATTTGGCCACAAAATCTTCCCTTCTGTTCCTTCCCCTATTCTTTCTGAATCCATGATTGCATGTTGTTGTCATGTCTTTTTATTCCTTTTAACCTGGAAGAATTCTTTTTCAAAAAAATTACACTTTTACAAATGTAAAAGTTAAATTACATTTGTACAATCCATGCCAGGTTTTTTTTAAAAAATGTCAGATTCCAGATTTATCTGCCTGTTTCCTTATGTTTTACCTGTTAAATTCCCTATGTATCTTAGGCTTGGCACTACTGACATCTTGGACAGGTAGCTATCTTGTGTGTTGCAGGATGTTTAATATTTCCCCGTTCCCACCAGGTTATAACCAAAACGTCTCCACACATGCCCAAAAGTGCCCAGGGGCCGGGGGTGGAGGTTAGGGAAGGGAACTAGAAGTGCACTCAAATTCAGGGGAAATAACTTTGTCAAGAATATTTGTCATATGATACTTATTTCTTATTGTATCCGTAAGCACATAACATCTGATTGTCCCATTATTGATTAGCCTTGATCACTTATTTAAGGCAGTCCCCCTTTTTTTTAAGATAAAGGTATGTTGTTCCCTTTTATAATAAGTAAGGGAAAAACAGACTTTTAATACTTTAACATCTTGATACCTTGATACCAAGTGAACATTTTCACCCAGTGACTTTTGGCATTCTCTAGTCTGAATCAATTGTGACTGATTTGCAAAATGGTGATTTTCTAATTCTATTATTTGTTGTACATTTATTCTCTGGCATTTCTATGAAAGAAAAGTTTTCATCCATCCCTTTATTTATTTCTACTGGCACTTGTAAATTCATGCATTTTCTTTACCCAATTTTTAAATTCAATTATTCCAATTACTCTCTTTGAGGCTTATATTATCCCAAATTCCTCCAGTGGGAATCTTCAATCCATTCTTTAAGCATTTCTTACCATAAGATAATTTAATGTTTCATGGAGAATTTTAATAAAGTTATCGTTAAGTACCACACAATGGTAAATTCTTATTGTATACACTGTATATGAAACCATATGTGTAAGGCCTTATATTTAGCCAGTCAAGAATTCTGACTGGGACAACATATTACTTTCACACTTTGACTACTTGATGGAAGAGCAGACTCAGTGGAAAAGACTCTGATGCTGTGAAAGACTGAGGGCAAAATAGGGCAAAAGAGGGCAGCAGAGCATGAGATCATTAGACAGCTTCACAAACTCAACAGGACATTAATTTGAGCAAACTCCCCGAGACAGTGAAGGACAGGGAAGCCTGATGTGCTGCAGTCCCCAGGGCTGTAAAGAGTTAAGGACAGGACTCAGCGACTGAACAAGAGAAAATTCTGTTTCCCAACCAACAAAAATTATCAGCCGTTTAATTTTGATTCATCTACGTGAAAGTGAAAGTCGCTCAGTTCTGAACCACTCTTTGCGACCCCATGGACTATACAGTCCGTGGAATTCGCCAGGCCAGAATACTGGAGTGGGTAGCCTCTCCCTTCTCCAGGGTTTCTTCCCATCCCAGGGATCAAATCCAGGTCTCCGGCATTGCAGTCGGATTCTTTACCAGCTTGAGCCACAAGGGACGCCATAAGGGTTATTTTGAATGGTACCTATAAATAAAAATAAACATACAATACGTATCACTTAAACATTGTATACAGTTCTAAAAGTGCTTCAAAATATGTTTCATTAAAATCAGTAACTAAGCAATGTCCTTGAGCACACATTTCAACAGCACCCCAGTTAAGCAAAAAATCGTGATTTTAAAACTATGACTTTTGGGAAGCCCAAACGAAATATGCCAGTTAAAATGAAAACAAAATTAAGGAATTTTAGCTTCACTCTGTAATTATCCCCCTTTCTGTGAGAGTCGGTTTCCTCCTCAGTCTCAGGTGCGGCCCTGCCCAGTTTCACAGACTCTGCTCTAAGTCCGTGTTGGTTATGATGAAGCAGATGAGGTACCTCCGGTTATAGGGCTGAAGGTTTTAACAGTCTCCCTGCCGGACTTCGCAGCTTGGACCAGCGCCACTCTGAAGAACCTTTCTCCTCAGCGGCCGCAGGAAAGGATGACGGTGGACGGTAGGGGCAACTCTGAGGGAGTGTCCCCCGGTCTCACGTCCCCCTCCGACTGCTCCTTCGATTGGCTGGTGTGAGTCTCGGCTGCCCAATCCCATTGGAGCGTCTCCCGCGCCGCTCTGCGCCGCCGCGGCGCGTGCGCATTCCTGACCCGCCCCTCTGCTTCAGCCCGGAGAGGTGGAGCAGGGCACCTACACGGTGTGGGCGGGAACTAGGCCTGGCAGCACCCGCGCTAACGTCAGAGGGCCGCGCCGGGGCCTGCACGGGCTGGTGGGAAGACTGCGTGAGAGACAAGCACCACATAGCTCCCCGAGTTCCTACATCCCTTAGGTGCAGGTCTTCTTGGGTGGACTCATTCACTTTCATTGTAGCGCGGGACCTGACAGTCCGATTTGACTCTGGGGAGTCGGAAAGATTCGATTATATTCTTTTTTCTGTACCCGGGCATGTTTAAAAGGGGAAGGAATCATTATAAGAAAGCAGCTTTTCTCCCGTGTTGAGTGGGCTGGGAACACCGTCCATTTGAGCTTCGCTGTCGGAAACGCGGTGGCCTCAAAGCCTAGCTGGCAGCACCTTCCCGCCGCCGAGCGCCTCAGCTCTGCCCTCGGGAGGCGGCCGCTTGTGCGCGTTGGGAACGCAGGCTTCCTTTCTGCCGCACAGAGGACCGCCCCACGGGTCTCCACGGCCGTGAGGCTCGGGAAAGTGACCCCGGGGACGCGCAGCAGGCCCTCAGCCTCCACCGCTAGGCTGCGCTGACAGACCGGCCCTCAGCTTCAGCCGCGAGGCCGCGCTGACAGACCGGCCCGGACCGGCGAGGCCTCGCTGACAGACCGGCCCTCAGCCTCAGCCGCGAGGCCGCGCTGACAGACCGGCCCTCAGCCTCAGCTGCGAGTCCGCGCTGACAGACCGGCCTCGAGCGGACGGCCCCGGCCCGTCCTCCGCACACCGCCGCCCCCGGAGAGCGACTGTCTCGCAGCCGCACGCCGGGCCGGCCCCCGCGGCCGCTCGGAAAACGCGGCGAGCGGAACCCGCACGCGGAAGCGCCCGCCGCACTGAGCATGCCCAGTCGCAGAGCCGACCGGAGGAGTTTTTTTCTTTTCTTTTTTCTTTTTCTTTCTTTTTTTGGGGGGTCTCAAGTGGCAGGCCTCCCCCAGCCCCCTAGCCGAGCCCCCCAGTACCCCGGCCTAAGGAGCTACCATGACCGAGGCTCCCGGAGCGGCGCTGTCCCGGGCGGGTTGGTAAGTGGCGGGTCTCCCAGTCGCGGGTGCGGGCCGGGCCCGAGGAGGCCGCGGCTGGGGCCAGGGCCGGGGCTGGGGCCGGGGGCGCCCGGTGCGTGTCGGGGTAGGCGGAGGCCGCCGCCCTCCCCGGCCTCTCCCGGGGCCCCCCGGCCGGCTCCGCCCCCGGCGCCGCGCGGAATCGAGCGAGTCCCCCGGCTCCCTGCGAGGCAGCGGCGCGGCCTGGGCCTCGGGAGGCGGGCGGCAGGCTGCAAGGAGGCCGGGGCCGCGGGGCGGGCGGCGGTATAGGCCCGGGGGCTCCCACGGCGCCGCCGCGGCGGGACGAGGGGAGGCGAGGGCTGGGGAAACCGAGCGCCGCCGAGCGGGGCGAGCGCCGGTCCGAGCCCGCGCCCTCTCATTCCCGAGTACAGCACGGAGCGGGGGAAGCCATCCTCTGCGGCGCACACAACTTCTGAGGCGGTGAATGCCCGTACTGGAGACTCGGGTGGATGCTGTCTAGAACTTTTCTAGAACGGATGACGGTGTTCTGATTTTTAAGGACGCTTCATGTCAATATTTTAGGATGAAAACAAACAAACAAAATATACGAAAGTAAGCAGTTCCTGGAACTTCGGCCATGAGGGTTATAAACATATAGCTTAATTTCCTAACGCTTTTCCAGGCCTGCATAGGCACAGTCTGGGATGAAAGGTGGCAAGGAGGTTGGAAAAAGATTTGACCCTGCTCGCTGTCTTAGCACTAAGAGAAGAAGGCATTAAAACAGCAAACACACAAACGGGGGTAATTGTGGTCAACTGTACAGAGGTGCAGGCAAATGTGGTATGGAATTGGAGAGGAAGGAAAGTTAATTTCCTAGAGAAGTGGACTTGGAAGGCTGGTGAGGAAAAGGCTTTCTGGATACAGAACCGCTGGAGATAAGGCAAGGAGGTAGGAAAGAGCTTATTGGCTTACAGTACTGACATTAAATCCCTATGGTTCCTGGAAGTAGAAGGGTGTCCAATGAAGAGTAAGACTTTAAAAGTTTGTGGCCAGATTGTGCAGCCTACGAATGTCTAAAGGGTGGATTTGATTTTATGAATAAAATTTTTGTTTAGAGTACAGTAACACCTGTGTTTTGAAGACGCTGCTCCTGGCTCCACAGATATCTCATTTTAGAGGTGTACAGATTAAAGCAGAGAATTGTTAAGTAACTTTAAAAAAATTTGAGATAACTGGAAAGTGATAGAGTTGAATGCTGGGGACAGGGGTCTGGTTCCCAATGTGGTGCTTTTAACTCTTCGTGTTGTTGCAGCTTTTGCATAAAACATTGTTACCATAACAAACTGTAGCTTTAAAAAGTCATCTTTTTTTTTCAGTTTTACTTTTTTCTTCTAACTTTATACATTCAGATTCTTCACCTCACAGTGTTGTCTTGAATAATCCTGTATCACTCTTTATTTGAGTTGTCCCCCATTCTTAGTGAGCCTTAGTTCTTCAAGCTAGTTGAGTGGATTCATTTACATTCTTTTCGTGTGCTATCCAGCATGATGATCCCACCCGTGTCAGAAAGACTAGTGTCCTTATTTTGGTTCCAAACACACACTAAATGGTTCTTTGGACTCTTAACTAAGATTCTTAAATGTGGTTAAACACCATCTTATGTTTCTGTATATCTGGAATGGTGGGAAACATTGTAGTTTCTTAGTAAAATCTGGTAAAATTGACCTTGGATGACAGTGCTCCTGCCAATCAAAATTCTCTAACCAGGGTCTCTACCCCAGCTTAGCATTTTTCTTGTCTTTATTATAAATTCTCAGTAATGTTATTTTGTGACATTTGCCACTTTATGTTACAGATTTTCTCTTTACATGTTTCTTAGTCCAAACTGCTGCTTTTGAATGGCAGGGATTCATAAAGGCAGAAGTAATAGGTGAGGCTAATAAGACTATCTTCCTACGAGTTTGGGGGTGATTCCTGATGAGTTTTGAACTCACAAGACTTGTGAAGAAGACAGGAGGATGTCCTAGGCTATGGTTGGCATGTGTTAGATCTTATATTTAGGTAGAGATTTATTATGTTAATATACAGAATCTCAAATGTATATGTAGAGAAGAGTACTGGAAGGAGAATTTCTGACCATAGAGCTGCTTTGACCAACTCATTCCAGTTCTGACATCTCGAGTTTCCTATGACTCTTGGGCTTCTCTGTTATTGTCACTGACAAAACCTTTTTTTTTTTAGTACTCAGTCTATTCACTTAATTACTTGTAGGACCACAAAAGAAGTAGATGCTAAAACACTTCAACTATTATTATCTATTCTGTCAGCCTCATCTAAAACAGTAGGTTTGAGAAGTGTTTAGTGCTGAGTAATTTATGTTTCTGAAATTGTGATCTTCAGGAGGTGTAGATGGTCTGTATAGACTGGTCTGTTATTCCAGTTTATATTATTTTTTTAGCACATTTTTTTAAAGCCCTTAATCTTCATTGTAATTCCCACAAAAAGCCAGTATTTTAAAATATAACTCCCAATAGCAGCCATTCTGGCAGACTACAGTAATTTTTTTTTTCCCTTAGTGGCCAGTAGCATAGAAAATGCTAGGTTTTGCTGATTTGAACATAAAATTTCCAGGAGCTGCTCCATTATAGTGACTCTGTTTAAATATTGCATGAAATTGTACCTTAAGTTGATTTAAGTCACTCAGTCATGTCCGACTCTTTGGGACCCCATGGACTGCAGCACATCAAGCTTCCCTGTCCATCACCAACTCCCAGAGCTTGCTCAAGCTCATGTTCATCCAGTCGGTGATGCCGTACAATGATGTCATCCTCTGCTGTCTCCTCCTCCTCCTGTCTTCAGTCTTTCCCAGTATCAGGGTATTTTCCAGTTAGTCCACTCTTCACATCAGGTGGCCAAAGTACTGGAGTTTCAGCTTCAGCATCAGTCCTTAAATGAATATTCAGGATTGATTTCCTTTAGGATTGACTGGTTTGATCTCCTTGCAGTCCAAGGGACTCTCAAGAGTCTTTTCCAACACCACAGTTCAGAAGCATCAGTTCTTTGGCGTGCAGCTTTCTTTATGGTCCAAATCTCAAATCCATACATGACTACTGGAAAAACCATAGCTTTGCCTAGACGGACTTTTGTTGGTTAAGTAATGTCTCTGCTTTTTAATATGCTGTCTAGGTAGGTCACAGCTTTTCTTCCAAGGAGCAAGTGTCTTTTAATTTCATGATTGCAGTCACCATTTGCAGTGATTTTGGAGCCCCCCAAAATAAAGTCTGTCACTGTTTCCATTGTTTCTCCATCTATTTTCCATAAAGTGATGGGACTGGATGCCATGATATTAGTTTTTGAGTGCTGAGTTTTAAGCCAGCTTTTTCACTCTCCTCTTTCACTTTCAAAAAGAGGCTGTTTAGTTCCTCTTTGCTTTTTGCCATAGGAGTGGTGTCATCTGCATATCTGAGGTTATTGATATTTCTCCCTGCAATCTTGATTCCAGCTTGTGCTTCATCCAGCCCAGCATTTTGCATGATGTACTCTGCATATAAGTTAAATAAGCAGGGTGACAATATACAGCCTTGA